ACTTTGAGCTAAAGTTAATAATTGGAGAAAGAAAAATTCCTACTAAAACATTTGCATCAACTTTCAAATTGGTAGTTGAGTGATATTACTGTGGTTTTTTGGATGTTTTTTTACAATTTATGAGTTGAATTAGATTAAAATTTTTTAAGCATGTAAAAGACTTATAGTAGCATTTTTATGAAAAATCTTGCACCAAGTATATGATCAAATTAGCAATTACAGCTTGCTTAAGGTCATTGACTAGAATTAAGATTTGCAAAGATAAATTGGAATTGCCTAATTATAAAAGTAATTAGACAATTGAAATTTGTATATAGTTGAGGTTACTGAGAAGAATATTTTTGAGGACTTTGTATTGGCTTTAAGTACTTTTGAATTAAAATTCAAATTGCATTCTTCTTATATGGATGAAACCTATTAGGATTTTTTGGATACTTGTAAAATATAACTTCACCTTCTATAACCAAGTGCCTAGTGCATTTTCAAATAAGATAATATGTAATATAAAAATAGTGAGCTTTCAAACCATACAAACGAGTAGCAATATTGGACTTAATAAAAATGATATAACAACTCTTTCAAATATACAATTCATACTTAAGTGCTTCATTCAAATAAACCAAGTCTTTTTTTATTACTTTCAATTGAAAGACAGCCTTCTAATTCATATTATAAGTCTTAATCTACATAGAGTATAAAATGTCACTATTAGTGAGGATCTTTATGCAATACAAATTAATCTTGGCTTATGACTAGATTATAATCTAAGGTATGAACCCAATTCAATTTCTAGCCTATGACTTTGCTGATTGGAAATGACATAAGGTCTTACTACTCCAAGTAATCAATTTTTTAATAAGGCACAATTACTCCATAACACTTGTAGCAAAGCTCCAAGCCATTTGATTTCACTTCAAGCATGCAACTCTTAAATTCACTCTAGTAAAAACTACAAGTTTAATCAAGTTTCTATGGCATAAAAATAAACCTCCTAAGTTATAAGTCTTCTTGTGGTAACTCAATTTAGGATTACTACCACTTAATAGTTGGAGCATGGCAATGGATTTTTCCAATAAGTGTTTTTAGTACAACAAGGGCATACAAGAGATGCCAAATCATTGTTTATAGGAATAATTATTAGCCTACTAAATTTGAAATAATTTTTAGAGGTATGGAGTGGCTTGGACATGCATCTATACTTTCCATAGAGAGAATTCATCATAAAGATTCCACTTAGCAACAAAGATGGTGCAAGATATATACACTTTCCTTAGCTTTTGATTCTAGTATGAGATATTTTTCACAATCCTTTATCATAGAGAATTTGGTATACCAAATGCATCCTAATTTTTTTCAAGAGTAGTTTAATATTTTTCTGATTTGATATAATACTTGGCAAGATACAATCTACGCAAGTATAGTGTAAGTATGAAACCACATACTTAATTTTACGGATTTTTGTGGTGAGAAATGATAAGAAATGCTAATCAAAGAATTTAACAAAGTTTGGTGTAGTTACAAAGTCTTTTGTGTGGAAAGCCTTCATTCACCTCAATGGATAATGGCTCTAATACTATTAGCTATGCCAACTCTCTCATAGGATCAAAACTAATCTATAAATTATATTTTTTTAATATTACTACTATATATTAAAAAAAAAAAAAAAAAAAAAAAAAACTCCTCCTAAAAGTTTCTTATTTTTAAGAAGCCATGTTAGAAGTGACCTATAACTCAACACTTGATTTACAAGTCTTGTGGTCCTTAGGAAGTTTTTACAAGACCTTAATTGTTAATATGTATAAAAATAAAATAAAAATATCATCAATCTTGTCAATGCCTTTTTATATATTTTAATCTTGATTTAAGATTCTCTAGCTTTTTAAATTTGATAATAGTCATTCTAGTTTTTTTTTTCTTTTTCTTTTCTTTTTTATTTTTTTTTAATCTTATATCTGTATCTTTTTTTTTATTTGCTTTCTTCTTTAATGATGCAGATTATATTAGCTTTTGAGTTTGTTTCAAAATTTATGTACTTAACACTTCTAAAAAATTACACAACAAATCATTGATATTTTTCCAATAGCAACAATAGAGATTTAAAAGTTGGATCAATATTAATGTTAATACAATACTTTGTGATTTGAAATACATGTACTTACAATAAAATTTATGACTTGATTGATTTGTTGTTTGAATATTAACTTCAATACTTGATCATAGTGTTAATGAGATCCTATGTTTTTTCTTTGATGTTTATATACACTATGAAAATCTAGTAAATTAATGTCATTTAAATAGCATTTTTGCAATAGTTAGAAAGTCTTTTGAGCAATTTTTTGCTTCTAAGAAATTTATTCTTTGAGAACTTAAAGTATAGCAATAGAAGATTTTGCAACAACCTTTGAGTTTGCAAACAAAGAATGTTTACAAATTTTGCAACATACAATGTCCATACAATCGTTAGTAATTAGTACTCATGAAACATGCAGCACCAGGAAGGGATTGAAACACCATGCATGCAAACCCAACAAACTCTTTCCTAGCATCCTTGTAATCGATAGAGCAATTTTTTAATACAGTTTAACCGCTTCGTGCAGAATCACGAAAGATGTGGGTTTGATGATCTTCTGGAGACTGAGCCCCAAAATGATAGAAACTAAACAACCCCGGCTGGTGGAAAATGACCATGTCGGTGAACGGAATGTCTGATTCTCGCTGCCATCTTTTATGAGCTTCGGAACAGATAGCTTCAGGTCAGCTCAGATCAGCTCAGATTTGTTGCAGCTACTGATGCTAATCACTTTTGTTTGCATTCGCCTGAGTGAGCGAGGCATCGAGTAACGATCAAGTTGAGAGAGGGGAGTCTGGACATGAACCGCAGAGGGACCTGAACCAAGACGATGCAGCGTCGTCAGACCAGATTCTGGTGCTGCAAGAGCTTGTCGCCGTACGCCAATGGCAGTAATGGCACCGGCGCAACGTCGCCACCAACCAGCCACGGCTTCCTCAGACACCACCACCACTGCAGTAAGACGGCTTTAAATATAGTTGACATCGAAGTCTCCTCCGGGACCCACAAGTGAGACGCTTGTCTCGTCGCGCCTTGACTTTCGTGTCAACGTGAGTCGATTCCATGCCTCGATCATTGGAGTTGTCACCTCGGCCCTCACCCATCTGTCAGAGTTTTTGTACCCAGTTCTGTGTCCCGCAGCAACTCGGTTTATCACCGCGGCATGGTGGTCGCTAGGGACTCAGAAGTCCACTGCTCTGCTGGTGCCCTTCCCTGCAAACGCGTCATCAGTCTAGAAAGTTCTTATCGTTGCAAGATCCGTATGACTAATGCGTGTCATGCTATTCGTCGCACGCACTTAAACACCGACGAGCATAGGTTTTGTACTTAACAGTTGTTTTCGACAATTAATCCTGTTTCGGATTTTATTAGTTTAGAGTGTCTTAAGGTCATTCATTCCTGCATGGTATACGTTGAAGATTCTCGTGCACTTACGGATTGACGAGAAATTCCTTCTATGCTAATGAGCACTTAAACCTTTGGGTCTCATCAATTCGCATGTGTAAGTCACCTACGACTAGGTTGCGGTTTGGTGCGAACTCAGTGTCTGGTTGATTAAGCCTAGTCCTTGGATGTACTAATAGGTGTTGAACCCAAAGTATACTTGTCGAATTCAGATCGTTGTGTCCAGAAGGATAATTGCGTGAAACGGAGAGTTTTGCTTCCAGCCCAAATGTTCTAGTATGAACAAATTTGATGCAAGCTTTCATTGGATGCGGAAAAGTGACAATTTCCGTCTTAGAACGCACTGTCTTAGGCATGTTGAAAAAATAACAAGAAGATTGCAGCTTCATCAAATTATGGCATCACCTTGAATGAAGAAATATTGTAACTTACATGAGCCAAATCATGACACGTATTAGCTTAGAAGTCCTCCCATAAAGCTGAACCACACTTGCATCATATCATCCTTCCAAGGTGGAAGAGAAGTGGCTAACTCTAAGAGCTGAATTTTCATGCTTCAGTACTGATAAGCAACATCCATGATTGCACTTTGAGTGCAGCAGTGCAAGTCGCGGCGTCTCAGCGAGGCAAAAAGTTGCTGAGAATCCAGCAATTCTGTTTAGTATTACCTTAAAGATCTGGATCTGAAACAGCTTAGAGGAAAATCAATGCATGAAGCCAATCGCTAGAAGACATATCGGCCATAAATTTGAGGTCCATGATCCATAAATTTTGACACACATGGATCATGGACCTCAAAATTTGTGGCACCTGGAGGCATGGACCTCAAATGTTGAGGACCGTAAATCCTCCTGGTGTCAAGATTCCCCTATTGTCGTTACGAAGTTGGTTAGTTCCTGTAGATCGAGCGAGATAAACGGTGTGAAGTAAAGGACCTGAGGAACTGCGTTGCTGAAAAGACCACTCAGTTCGTGTTTGTCCGCAAGCTGGCCCACTTGCTCGGTAATGCTTGCCATCATCACTTGTGTCAGTACCGTCCACATTCTCACACTGGCATAATTCGTTTTTCCCAATGGGATGGTGAAGATCTCCACGTGGATTCTGCCACCCAGAAGGAAACGGGAAACGTGCAGCGAAGCTACATAATTTGTCCATGGTCTGAGTTTCTTACAGAGTATTTTACGCATTATTCCCAGGGAAATTCGATCAGCGAATCTGGAGCACTTACAGTTGATTTGCCTTTTGATATCATCATAAATTTTTTTAAGTTTTTGCTTACATAAATGCTGCAGGAGTTTTGATGACAACTGTGTACTTGCGTGAGGCACCCGTGACGTCCAACCAACTTCACACGCTTCTGTAAATGCAGCGGCATTCTATTCTTTGTGAAGCAGAGTGGAAAGCTTGAGGGTATTTGCGGGGTAAGAAGCGCGATGGTTGAGATAGAAGTGGGAATTTCCACTATGATAAAATTTCTCGAATATCTCCCGTAGATTCGTCAATAGAAATCGGGCTGCAGCAGTGGCCGAGAAAGTGCTTATCCGTGACGAATGCGTGGGTGGTTTCGGAGTTGCAGCTGTCAGTTTCAAGCTCATTGTTCTCCTTGTCTGCTCGGAGAACCAGGAGTATATATACATGGCTTGAAGTATTCCTGAATCAATTCCATTTCCTCCAGGATCATCAGTGAGGAGACTCAGGACTAGGGAAACATGGGTGGGTTTCGGTTGAGCGGCGCAGGAGCCCTCACTCTGCTCTCTATAGTTTTTCTTATATCGCAAGCGTTTGTGATCCCTGCATTCAGCCGGGAGCTATTGGAGAACACGAGGGACGGGGCTGCGAGAGATGTCGACAATGACGAGATCACTGAATATGACATCACCGGAACTGTTGTGCTGAGACGGGGTGTCCTTGAGGTACCAACAACAGTCGCTGCACTTTAGTGCCAGTTTTGCTTTCGTTGAAGTCGTAGCAAGCATACCTAGCTATTGCAGTACCTCTACATATTAGGCAGCTCATGATTTTAAGTGCAGCAAGTGCCGTCCATGGTCTCATTGAGAGCAATTGTATTACGAGTCATGCTTATGTCGTCATAACATACAGCGGCTATTGCTGAAGTCGGTTGACCTTAACAGCTACGATATAACAAGTTTCTGTTAAAATAACAATAGCTGATGAATCATCTTCTTGTCCATACCAATTGTCGTAATTGTATTAATCTTATTTCGCTCATCAACGGCTTGTGTTTACCTCAGTATAGCAGCGGTAATTGCGTGTTGAATGTTGCCATCCTTTTCCTTCATTAGGTACGTGATGATAGCTTTGTTTCTTAATAGTGATCATGGTCGTGGCATTGCAGGCCGAGACTGTCGGTGAAGCTGGGGTTGGAACCCAGAAGACTGCTGCACCTAGCAGAAAGAGAGGATGTTCATGTCGTGGCAATGGGTCACCAGGAAGGCCAGGTGGGGGAGGCGGTGGAGGCGGAGGGGGCGGTGGGGGTTCCGGTGGGCGGTCATGGTGTAATTGTCGTGGAGGAGGTAGAGGAGGCCGTGGTAGTGGTGGTGGAGGCAATGGCGGTAGTGGAGGAGGCGGAGGTGGTGGTGGCGGTGGCGGAGGTGGTGGTGGTGGAGGAGGCGGGGGCGGAGGTGGCGGTGGCGGTGGCGGAGGTGGCGGTGGCGGAGGTGGCGGCGGTGGCGGAGGTGGATGGAAGACGGTAGATGGCATCGTCGGAGGCCAAAAACTCGTCCGCACTCAAGGTACAACACTGGCACATAATCCAGCCGCTGCGCTCAAGCATTTCAATCTTAAGAAATCGCTGCATACTAGGCTTGATCGATTCAGCCTCATAAAACCATCATCCACTGTGCTGTAGAAAACAACAACCGCATTAACTGAAGCATCTTCAGGCAATGCTCTGTGCTATTTTGGCGATTGTTCTGATCCTCCAGCATATCACTAGAAATATACAGAAATAGTTCTGAGATGTGACTACGATGGCTTTGTAGGCGGAGGCGGCGGTGGAGGTGGGGGAGGTCAAGCTAACAACGGCAGGGGTAACGGTAACCGATGGAGATGGGGTGGAGGCAACCGTAATCCTCCCCGTGGTGGCGGAGGCGGTGGTGGAGGTGGAGGTGGCGGTGGAGGTGGTGGCGGTGGAGGTGGTGGCGGTGGAGGTGGTGGAGGTGGAGGAGGAGGAGGTGGTGGTGGAGGAGGAGGTGGTGGTGGTGGTGGTGGCGGTGGTGGAGGTGGTGGCGGTGGTGGTGGTGGAGGGGGCGGAGGTCCCAAATCTGGAGGTGGAGGTGGAGGTGGCGGTGGAGGTGGTAGTCACGGTCCATGAACACTTGGCCACAGCAGGTAATCACACATGTCCCAATAATCCATCTCTTTATTGCTCTTGTTTACACTTCTGAACGAACCTTAAATCAGAAACTGTTGTCGATTGTGGATCGGAACATGATCGGCGAGGACTAGGACTGTGAGTGATTCTCGTTCATATGCTAAACTGACGCACCCGAACTGCTGTCAGGTTCAACTCCGGAGCAGTGTGGCTAGGGAACCTACCCAAGCAGGCTGCAATCCGAAGAAGATTTCAATCATTATAAGCTGATCCGCATAGCTTCCGAAGTGACCCACCTTGCTAGTTCAGTACTTCGATCGACTACGTCTCATCCAAGTCACACGACAGTTTCTGATTCCACAAATGTGAAGAGTCCGATCTGTGTCTGTGTTGTGTGCGAGTGTAGGATTTGAGTGACTAAACTGAATAAAGCGTCGAGCTCTGGTTTGGAATTTCGAAACTGTTTCGCTGCTAGCTTTCAGTCACCGTTAGATTCCATCTACCGAAATTAGAAGAAATTAGATGCGTTAGCATCCGAAATCTACAGGGTGTACCGACATAGTTTTAGGATTTCCACGCTAGACCGATGTGTAACGGGGCGAGTTGAATTAATATTAAATGACTGTGCTTATCCAATCTCGCATTGTTGTTATGTTGGGCTGCCGATGACTGTAATTAGCTTCTACAAGTGCTGATTTGATGTCACAATATATATATATATATATATATATATTTTGCTTTTTTTTTTTGTATACCATGAATGTGTCATTCCAACTGATTATTTGTCACGAATTGGTTCAAAATGTATTGGACAACAGTAAGAACAGTGTTTTCATATGTAGTAGCATGATGTTGATGTGATTTTTAAAGGATTTAACTCTTTTTCGGTAACGAAATTCCAATCCTCCATATCTTTGAAAAAGGATTTTTTAAATTCACCTGTTCACATGTATCAATAAAAACTCTTTTGGTTTTGGTAGTAATTTTGTTACAATAAGATTTTTCATAAGTAGAAGTCATGTTTAGCTTTAGTGTGGAATTGAGCTTTGTATTTTCATTTTGTGTCAATATCTATATATATATATATGGATTGTTTGTATGTTTTTCAATAACAATGCACTGGTGTAGTGTTGAGAACAAAATTTTGGTGATAGTATGACATGCCTTTGTTATTTTATGCATATTCATGATTTTACTGGTGTTGTATACAACTTTCTATTCTCTGAATACTAATACATTATGATAATGTTAACATTCTGATGCACAAAAAGTAGACATATTATTCACAATGCACTGATTTTGATACAAGCATAATCATTATTCGTTATTAATAGCATGTTGCAAGAAGGTCATGGTAATAGATTTTGAAAATAGAGAAATGTTCTTGAAATGTAGTTGTTTTGCTAAAATCTAATACAACGTTATGCACAGCCCTTGAGCTAGACCTCAACCTAACTCCCTCCCTAATTCTACTATATTGTGTTAGTCTTTGAACTAGTCAAAAGTTCCTCCTTGTCTTACTTACTCAAAAACTCAAATTCCTAGGTCTTGTTTATCTTCAACTTCTTGCTCTTCAACTATTAGCACCAAATCTTATTGTGACCAGTCTTGGCCTCTATGTTCCACTTTTGCTGCAACTTTTAGCCCCTCAACAAACTCAAACTTGCTAACTTAGCAAAAGTGCCAAGTTTGGTATGAGATCTAAGGTCTCTAAAATAATAACTGAACCATGTTTAAATATATCTCCAATTTTAGAGCCACAAGGCAGTGCACATCGCCTAGGCCACATCATCTGCCAGTGATGCACACTACCACGTAGCATCACAAGTGCCAAGTTTATTGCCATACAGCACTGCATGTTATACTCAAAATTTTCAAGGAAATTCATTTTATACTAAATTGCCATATGGCAATCCACCTTTGATTGTCAAATAATGTGAGGAAAGTCATACTAAAATGTTTAATAGAAACACCATGTCATGCTTTATTGATAATTGGTAGCATCACATTCATAAAATATATTTCATTAAAAATTTTAATTTAATTTGAAATATATATATATATATACATATATATTTGTGTTATATTAGTATTTATTTATTTATATTTATATTTTTTTATTGTAATACATCAGATATATGCAGTATACATGTGTGTAGATTGATCATTGTTCAATGCATACTTCAATAGTATCTATAATGCATCATTTGTGATGTTTGTTATTTGAATTTTATGTTTTTATTTTTTAATTTTTTAAAATTTCTAAAAAAAACTTAGATATTTATTTTAAGGCATATATTTAAATTTTTTTTACACAGTTCAAATATATATATATATATATATATATATATATGTTTATCACAAAGAGCCTTAGTGACATGCTTTGTGTATAAGAAAACAATCTATTTCCATATCCTAAATTTTTTTTGGGTGTTATGAAGAAATGATCAATTCCCTATACACTGAATCAACCAATAAGTATTCTCGTTTATTGAAATAGCTTTTAATGTGATTGTACAAAAAAGTGCTTTCATACATGGTGGAGTCAGACCAACCAAAATAGAAAGCAATAATTTATTACTTGGTCAAGGTCACATACCACTTAGAGAGATATTGAATACATGTGTTTTATGTCCTAATACAAGGACCCATTGGTTGTTGGATTTTGATAAAGTAGTAGAGTTGTTCCATCCAAAAAATCAACACAACCAAGTAAGTCTTCTATTAGCAGCACCGCAAATATCTCCTTCCCTTGTTCAGCATTTGGCCAATACATCTATTGCTTTTTTACATCACACGAAGCCTTAAAAACTCACTTTGTGCATGAGACAACAATCCATTATAATATCCCCACAGTTCTTTGTATATTATGAAGGGATGCTCCATTCCTATAAATACCAAGATGTATGAAATAGATAATTACTTGATATGCCATGGCTACTTAAAGGCAACAATTGTTATTAGCAAATATTGGATGATTCTCAAAGCGACCAACAAGTGCATAGAAATATTTGTTGTTGGTACAAAGTTGTTGTTTGAATATGGAAATGGACTAGAGCAAAAGATAATTCATGTCGAAGTTCTAACTCTTTGGAATAAAACTTTTGTTGTTAATGATGTAGCAAGACTATAAGGCCAAAGCATACAGATTGTCTTGGATTTCATGTAATACCCACCAAAGTCCTATGTCTATGACAATTTTTGCACAAGCAAATGCAGAGGATTAAGATCAACAATGCACAAGAGATCTATAGTACATCCTTATGCCAAGCTATCCATGTCTTGTTGTAGTATGGAGTTAAAAAATGACATACAAATTAACTAGAGTAGTTTCTTTTTGTTATTGCAAGATGCACCTAACAATCTCTTGGAGCACCTTATTGAATTGAATATTTTGCATGTTTTACTAAATTTCCCCCTTGAAAACACTTGATCCATTTACTAGACAAAACATCCACTAAATAAGTTATTTGTAATCTTGCAAAGATATTTTGCAAAATATTGTCACTTGTTGGTTGTTCTATGCAACTTCTTCATTGATGCAGCCGCACCTCTTTTGATATAAAAGGTGAATATTTGATATAACTACTTCTAAAAGCAATAAAAATGTAATAGATATATTATTTATTTTTGGTAATTATATTCCATGGTAAAATAAAATATTCTTAAAACATGAAAAAGAATTTAAATATTTTTTAGTTCTACTTTTAGAAAAATAAATTTACATGCTATTTATATAAATTAGTATATTAATAAATAAAATAAATAGATAAAAATTCTTTCTAATTTTTTTGTAAAAAACTTAATCTATTTTTATGTATAAATCTTAGAAATAGAAATAAAAATACATATAATCATGTATTATTATAAATAAATTATAAATATATTAGAATATGTAAAAAATATTATTTAATGACATACTACCAATTGTTTTCATTTAGAAAAAAAATCTTTGTAAATTAAAAAGAATAATAGACTGGTTGATGTCTCAATTAAAGAGTTGCATAATTATTCATTGTATAAATTTAAAAGACTAGTGAAAGTAGAAGCTATTATTTAAGAAAGGATTAACAAAGTTTGTTACATTTTTATACAAGATATCTTTAAACCACTTCAAGAAACGGTAGTTGGTTGCTTAAAGCACAAAATTCTCAAGAAACTTTCTACTAGTTCAATTTGCACCATCTTTCATGGATTATGCATGCTATTTTTGTAAATATGCTATACCCAATAACTTACAGAAAAGCCATAGTATAATAATAATAATAATAATAAACTGATTCTTTAATCTCTTGTTAAAAATTTACAAAATTAGAATACTTTAGATTATACCATGGTGCAAAATGTTGAGATTAGAAGCCTTTGTTTTTCTACTATATGCTAATTTTTAAAAATAAATTTGAAGGTAATAATAAAGATAATTAAAATAATATTCAGATTAAGAAATAAAAGGTAAAAAGATAATAACAACAAGATTTCACACTTAAATTTATATATGTACATATATAAATGTAATATTTATTGCATATATTTAACTTACATAAATATATGCCTTTAAATAAATAAATAAATAAATTTTAATAAAATTTTCTTCTAAAGTATTAGGATATATATTTATAATATTGAATAAATTTTAGAATATATAAAATATATTTATTTAGTGAATATTTAAAATTTATATTTATATGTCACTATATTCGGTCATTTATTTATTAATATCAATAAATTCATATGAATTTTTTTTCGAGTATGATAATATATGTTTTATATAATGCCAAAGCTTATATTTTATAAATTAGCATACATTTTTATTGTATTAGCAAAGAATTTGAGCACATACCCTTATTTCCAGACCGGGGGTTCCTGGGGGAGGGTGTGCAGGGTCGAACCCCTAGGCCGGGTCTACGAGGAGCCCCGCGAACGAATCGTCGGCCTAAAACCGACCCACCGGCGCTGCTGCCATCACGATGCTGACATGGCGGTCGGGAGGGAGGGAAGGAGGGAGGGAGGGAAGGAGGGCCGAAGTGGCGTAGGCCCCGTCAGCAAGACCAGGCGGGGATGTGACGCGGTGTCGCTTTCGATCTGCTGTGGCGGGGGGGGGGGGTTGTGAAGTTTCCGCCCGCTTGAAACCAGGTCGCAGTCATCTATCATCTATCATCCATCTATCCATCTGGCGAAGTTTTCACATGGCCGTGTACGGCATCGGGAGCATCAGGCGCGCGATCGATGGTGTACGGCATCGGGAGCATCGCTTTAGGGTGCGCAGTGGCGGGCCCGCCAATTTGGGGAGGGAGGGAGTCCAAGCCCAAGGGCGGGAGTGGTTATTATAGGGTGGTGCGGGATCCCCCCCCCCCCCCCCCCCGAATTCTTGGTCCACGCAATAAAACATGAATTTTTTCCCGGACCCCTTTTTAGCTTCGGTTCGAGATCTGCAGGGCCGGAAGTTGGGTTTTTAAACCCCCCCACTTGAAA